ATGTGCTTGTCCCAACCATGTTCCAGCATGGCCGCACCAGCGAGTTTCTCCTGAGAATCTTCTCTGAAGTGCCTGTGAAGCTCAGGTTGTTTCTTTAGCCAACTCTTATTCTGTTTTGCCTCTAGTCCTAACCTCTTGACCTTTCCTCCCCTAAGCAGACACTCAATGGAACAATTTGTTCAAGTCAGACTTATCTGAAGGTACAATGATAAAAATGCTTCTCTAAGCAGGGTTGTGGAAAATTCTGAACATCAGAGCTCTGAGTTGCCGTTTAAGTGGAGCAGGCCTATGGCCTAAGTTCTTTCACTTGACTCACTGACTCGCCATTTTCTTAGTGAGTACTGAGTCACCAAAGCTAATTTGTCTCCCCATTCTGCTTACTTAGATTGTTACCTACTGATGCTTAAAACAAGCATAAAGGAAGACATATTCATAAAATTTAGGGCATATCTTAAGAGGAATGGGCTAGGTCACTCAGCATCTATTGTTTTCAGCAACAATGTCTGCTTCAGTAGGCCTGTCTCCTCATTGGGGAGCTCTGGTGGCATAGTGCCTAAGGCACTTGACTGCTAACCAGAAGGGTGGCAGTTCAAACCCACCAGCCACTCCTCGGAAGGAAGATTGGGCAATCTACTTCCATAGAGATACCGCCTTGGAAATCCAAGGAGGGGTCGCTATGACTCAGGTCTGACATCAGGCATTCATCATCAGATAACTTAACTTCTTTTTGATGTTCCAGGGAACTGACTCTGGACATGCCCAAGATGTCCTGCTGGAATCTGGCTCGTGGTTACCCAAAGGTGGTTACCCAGATCACTGTTCACAGTGCTGAGGGTTTGGAGAAGAAGTATGCCAATGAAAGTAAGAACTGCAGGGAGTCTGACAAAACCAAACTCAGTTTAATTTCTTGTATGTATGGTTCAAAGAGATGATCACAAATGATTCTTTCCAATGGTATTTCAGTCTAGGGAGGTAAGGGTGGATGTCAACTGTGGCAGACAATGGTATATAAACTTCGTTGGGCAAGGCTTAATATTCATCTTTATAATATGGAAAATGAAAAGGACAATGAGCAAAAGTTGAGTCCTAGATCATACTTGTGCTTGAGATTTTATGCTGAAAGCCCCAGGATACACTTATTGAGGTAGTCTTTTGCCTGTCTAGAAAGGGAACTTTAATCGTCACTGTATCAAAAATAAATATCACTTTGTTCCAGCTGTAAACCCGTATTTGGTCATCAAGTGTGGAAAGGAGGAAGTCCGTTCTCCTGTCCAAAAGAATACTGTGCATGCCATTTTTGACACACAGGCCATTTTCTACAGAAGGACCACTGACATTCCTATTATAGTACAGGTAAGAGTGCAAACAGGGGCTCCCAGGGTGGCTCACACTGAGTAGCAGATGCTAGATTATCTCAAGTGCCTCAAATATGGCTAAAATGCAGAGCAAGGGATATCCTGTTTGTTTGTTTGTTTTTGTACTCAAAGACACTTCCCATAAGGCATAGACACTGACTTCCTTAATCTCCACCCTAAATATGCTCTTTTCCCTCTCATTGTGGGCAGGAACCTAAGTGCTCATGGTTTCACACTTGTACACATACGTTATTAAGGGAAACATATACAGTTCAGATGACACTCACAGTGGTAGGTCAGGATGGACCAATGCAGTTTGCAGAATTTTTCTGACTGTTCCTTTTTTTTAATAAATATATACTCTGATGATCTTTTGATTTTTAAACAGACATTTCCAAGCTCAGTATTATGTTCTAGATGCCACTGGGGAAAGGCTAGTCTCACACAAGTTTGCTCATCCTCATTCTCTTGATTTGTCTCCCCAGGTGTGGAACAAGCGAAAATTCTGTGACCAGTTCTTGGGGCAGGTTATTCTGGATGCTGACCCCAGTGACTGCCGTGAACTGAAGTCTCTGTACTTGCGTAAGAAGGGTGGTCCAACTGCCAAAGTCAAGCAAGGTCATATCAGCTTCAAGGTTATTTCCAGTGATGATCTCACTGAGCTCTAAATTTCCCCTCCTAGAGAATCCTGACAGAGCTTTGATTTTCTGTCAGGTGCCAAGCCTTATCTCAGATTTACAATCTTTAGAAAGAAAGAAATTCACAGTAATTAACTTTTTCTCTCTTCTGATTAGTCCCCCATACCTCTTGATCCAAGTAGCATCAGTAGCTACATAACCTATATACCTCCAGCAGCTGGACAGGGGGAGGTGAGTCCTATCTGGAGATCAGAACAACAAGCAAAAGATCTCTAGAGCTTCGGGGGGTGAGATTCAAGCAGGACAATAGAAAGGGCTTGGGCACCCTACAGATGTCTTTGCTGCTTCCACATGCCCAATATATCCCCCTATAGGGCAGGTTGAGGAAGAGGGAGGAGTGATCAAGGCCAAGCTGGTCTAGCCTGACATCTCAGCTCCTGACTGAATACTATAGACTTCCCGGCAGCATTTCAACCAGTAGCCAGAGCCTGCTTATAAGCCCCAACCCTTGCCACTACACAGGTTTCACCACCAGCAGCGTCACCACCTCCAGAAAGTGTAGTCCTGCCTTAACCCAAGTCACCCCCCTACCAGTAGGTTTTACCTTCATGTTGAGGAAGCTTCCGAGGTGCTTAAACAAGAACTGGAGTTCAATGAAACATTAGAGTCAGCAGCCAGTGTCTGTGGGCAAGCAAGGCCTTGACAGTTCAAAGGGCCTGAGCTCCAGCTCATTGGAAGCCAGCTGTGTGCCACAAGAGGGAAAAATGGAAGAAGCTACAGTGGGAGACAAAGCCTCAGTCTCCCATCCACCCACACACACATACACTCACACATGCGCACATGGGCGCGCATGAACTACCGTTTAGGCTGTCAGTGGGCAAGTGGAAGGAAGAATAAATGATATATGCTAAAAAGATGAGAGAATCCATCTGGGCAGAGTACAGCCAGTTTGGGGCCCCTGACTGCAATGTGAAAACTCCTGCTGCTGCTAGGTTTACAAACAAGCCCATTGTCCTGTGCCTCCTGATATCATTGGTACTGAAGGCCCATCTGGGGGCTTGAGACTTTGGGTCCCAATCCAGGCCCCTCAGGTTTTACCCTCAGTTTGGGAAGCTTCACTTCCCGGGGGTGTTTGTTTGCCCTCTTGTTTTTCAGAATTTTTCTCTAGAGTCAGTCATGCTGAAATGTTATTCCCTCCATCTTCATCTTTCAACATTCTACCCATCCTTCAAGGCCCAGCACAAATGCCACCTCCTCCATGAAGCCTTCCTTAATTGCATCCCAATCCCTCATCTCCAACCAACAATTTTTCAACGCTTCTGCAATGATGAAAATGAAATATAGTTGTAGCACTTAGTCTAGTTTGCCATGCATTCACTTAAAAAAACTTTTTTGTAGTTTGTTTAGCTCACTCATTTCCTACTATTTTTCACTCTGTAACCTCTATGAAAAATCACAGTGCCTTACATAAATCAAATCACAATAAAGTTCAAATTCAATCAATTAACGAGTCTGACTTGTATTAATGACATGGGAGGTGGCAAGAGTGGCTTTCCATTGAGACTTATTTGAGTGCCATCAAAGGTAGGAGTGGAGAACTTCATGGAATCTGAGCCCAGGTACAAGTCTGATGGATTCAGAGGCCTTGACTGCCTTCCGATAGTGCAGTTCTTTCTTTGTCAAGATGATGGACCCTCTTTTATTCTGTATCCAGGGTAAGTTGGGTGGTGTTTGGGGCTCCACAATTTTTAAACCCCTCTGCTATTGGACTCAAAGCCAAAAGTACAGTAGCCAGATCTTTCAAGGGTAGACCTCCTAATTCCTTCCTTCCAGCTTCTCTCTTGGACCCAAATGGATGTGAAGGTGTCAGTCACTTAGCTTCTACACTCAATCTGCTATCTGCCCATTTCAGGAAAGGCTTTTGTCTTTCCTGACAGAATGAACATGACTAGAAGTACAGAGATCTAGGTTTTAGTCCTGTCTCTGCTTCAATATTACTCTGTGATGCTGGCACAAGTAAGCTATCAGAAAAGCTACTGTCATTTTCCAGTGAGCCTTGCCTCCTGACTGGAAAAGATGCCTAAGTAGAGGAGGAGTCTCCAAGATAGTAGCTCATCCCTCACTCCCAACTCTGAAACACTAGTCCAGAACACACTAGAGATGACATCTTAAATCCAGTCGTTTTTACGTTGCCAGGTTTACATGTTGCCGATCTTTGTCTAAGCAAGTATTGCATACAGGTAATGTTCTATATGGTCACCAGATGGCACTATGATATTACAAGTGACCTCAAAGAAACATTTATGCACAAGAATTTTATTTGTTAAATCAAAAGGGTATCTAAAGAAAAGGAACTCGCATTTTTTGAGGACTAGCTATGTGTCAGTCTCCATGCTCAGCACGTTATACACATGATCTCATTTTAATGCCCATAACAACCCTAGGAAGTGCTATCATTATCCATGTTTTTCAAAGAGAAAGAAACTAAGGTACAGAAAAATCAACCTATCTTGATTAAGGTTGCTCACCGACTAAGTGATGGATCTAGGCTAGTCATGCCTATTTGACTCCCCAACCAAGGCCTTTTCCAGGAAAATATGTTGCTTTCCAGAAAGTGGTAACATGTTACCTACATCTGTATGTTATACTGAGACTTATCATCTTCTCTCTAATTTAAACCCCATGTGCACATATAATGTGTTATGTACCAATGTATCTTTGATACATACAGCAACATGAATGAATAATTATGCTGAAAGAAAGAAGCCAAACAAAAAAAGGTGCATGCTGCATGATTCTATTTAATGTAAAATCTACAAAATGCAAATTACGCTATAGTGACAGAAAGAGTGTAATTGGTTACCAGGGGAAAGGGAGGAGGGAAGGGATGGGAGGATTATGAAGAGGTCCAAGGAAACTTTTGGTGGTGGTGATTATGCTCATTACCTTGAAACAGTATGCATTTGTCAAAACTCAGAAATATACATTAAAGAGTGAAATTTACTACACATATATTTTAAAAAATAAAGTCTTTCAACAATAACAAACTCATTGCCAATGAGTCAATTCTAACTAATGGTAACCCTATGTGTTACTGAGTAGAACTGCTCTATAGTTTTCTTGGCCAGACCTTTCTTCCTCATCTCTCCTACGTGGGTTCAAACCCAAACATTTAGTTTAGTAGTTGAGTACAAACTGTTTGCACCACCTAGGACCATAAATTATAGGTATATTTAAATGTGTTAAAACTCCACCAGGGTAGGACTGTAAAATGATACAACCACTGTGGAAATTGGTATGGCAATTTCTTAAAAAGTTGGAAATAGAAATACCATTTGATCCAGCAATCCCATTATTGGTATATATCCTAAAGAAGTGAGAGGCAGGACACAAATAGATATATGTAAACCCATGTTCATTACATCATTATTCATAATAGCAAAGAGATGGAAACAACCTAAGTGCTTATCAACCAAGGAATGGATAACCAAACCATGGTACAAATACACAATGGAATACTATGCAACCCTAAAGAATAATGTAGAATCTGAAAAACATCAC